CAGAATCAAATAATTTTTTCATTTTATTCAATTTCAACAAAATTATTTTTCCCATTTAAACATTTTTCTTAATATTTGTACACTGCTCAACGTTAATCAGTTCATTTTTGGTTCCGTGAAGCATAAAATTTGCGGCGTAAAAATGATTCATGTTAACCATTATATAAACGCTAAACAAATTTCGATACGTTTTTAAATTTTTAAAAATAATTTACTTTAATGTCGTTTCTGAATTTTACATCTTTTGAAAATTTAGACATTTCTCGAAAACGAAACTCCTCGGACCCAACGGTGTCTAGATTGAGACCAGCCGTCAGAAACTCTCGTTCTAAAATCCTGTCAGAGAGCAAGAGCATTTGGATCTCAAGTGACAACAGCGGCTTCCATTGCGTGCCAAAGAAATTAAACGTCGCCAACGACATACCAGAAACAGTTTTTGAAGACAGTGTTGCTGCGTCGCCGCCAGTCAGTTTCAGTTCAAGTCCGAAAGGTTATACAGACGAGCCTAGAAGAAGTCCGAAGCAAAAAACATCACCGAACAATAGATTTGATGAAAACTCTATTCCTGAGAGTCCAACTATAGTGTCGAGTCTAAGGCGAGAAAGAAAACTGAAATTTATCGCCCAAAAAAGTCATTCTGTTGATGTTTCGAACTCTCTGCCTAGAGGCTTCACGGAAAAAGTTTATTATAAAACCGCTAAATCACCATGCAATAGAACGAGAGATTATTTAAACGAAACTGAAATCAAAGAGATTTTAGAGAACGAACCTAAATTGTTATCGAAAGCATGCAAGTACGTAACGAAGGAAATTGACAAGGTTCCAATTACAAAACCTGAGATTTTGAACATTCAGAGAGAGTCACCGAAAGAAAGAACAAAACCAGACTGTTCGCCCTCTCCAAAATATGCGATGAAGAAAAGAATTAATTTTGCAGGACAGAAATCCTTTTCCTGTGACGTTCCAGTGGTTGGACACGAAGGTCAACCAAACAACATTCAACCATCGCAAAAAGATATCATTGCTCAGAAGCGTTATTCACATTTGGAAGAATTAAAACTCGATCTTAACTTGCCAATACCTAAAAAAGACATCAGCAGGCTGATAAAATTAGAGCCAAATGAGCTGATGAGCAAAGACAAGCGCCCGCGTGGAGGTAACATGAAAGTAGTTTCGGATGGAGTTGTGAAGTGGAAACGGAGACAGTCCACAAGTCCTGACAAGGCTGATTCCGAGGCATGTCACGACAAAAAATTTCATCATAAAGAGAATAAACCCGACCCCACCAACTCAAACAACGTTACGAATTACGAAGAAAATAATCTGCAGATACAAGACGGGTCGCAGCAGCAGCAAATACAACAGCAGCAGCAAGTAAAACAGCCGCAGAAGCAACTACAGCAGCAGCAGTTAACCGTCAATCAGCCTGAAATGCATGGAGGTAAAGAAAAAATAACACGAACAAGTTCGATAAAAAAAATGATGCATCTCCACTCGATGAAAACCATTGAAGATGAGAGAACAATGGAAGGTGTTGAACCCCAGCATCCCAAGCCTCGATACTACAAAATGGAACAAGAGAAACAGAAAATGGACACAAAATCGCCGTTAAAATCCAACAAATCTCCCGTTTTTTTCCAACCCAAAAATACTCCTACAGCAAATTTCGCTCGAACACCGCCTCAATTTTTCATCGACAATTCCGAATTTTCTGATCAAGGATCCATCCAGCTCGGAACTGTATCCGACTATTCGACTAATCCATACGATTATCAACAGATCAATTTTGGGCAGGATTATTGGAATGATCAAAAAACATTCGAACAAGAAAATAGACAAAAAGATTTAGAACTCACAAATATTTTTTCAAGAGCAAAAGACGCCAATCCCACCCATATAGAACTAGTTGAAAGTAAAAGCTCACCACCGTGCTTCTTAGAAAGTTCTCAAAAATCACCAAAAGAACCGAGTAACTACTACGAGAAAAATAAAAGATACGGATCATCGGTTAACGTTGGTAGTAATATTACGGTTTCCTTCGGAACTAATCTGTCGCCGAAGCCTGGTGGGTTAATTTGAAAAATTTGTAATTTGATTTAAATTTTATTTGAGAGCAATCATTCCCGTGTTCAGTTGTGATAATAATTCCACTGCTTCAACATCTCTTCGTCATTCAATCTGTATTATTACAAGCGTTTTATTATTTTCATCTCAACATTAATATTAACTCTTAAAATATCCTAGACAAAATCTCCAAACTAGTAGTTCCAGGATCGTCAAATCCACCTCCTTCGCCCCTGCCAGCACTCCCGTCATTCCCATCCAATCCCTTGTGTGTTGCCATGCACGGCTACAAGATCAAAGGAGCCTTTGATATCTCACTCGAGTAGCAAACATTTCTGAATTTATTTAAAATTATTAAAAACAATATTCCGAAAAACATTTAGTTTTTTTTAATTTATTTCAATATTATGTTATAAGCATTATCTTGAATTATATTTTGAATTAAATTCAAATTAAAAATTAATTTTTTTCAGAGCCGGACAAATTGTAAAGATCTTGGATTATTCCGACGCTAATTGGTGGAAGGTTAGATGAAAGAATCTTTGCTTAAGTTATTAATAAAATCATAAAAGTAATCATGAAATAGTCCGACATAACGATCTCAAAGATGAAAAAAATTTGTCACGTTTATATTTTTAAAACTTGCAAATTTCAAAAAAAAAACTCTAGGGCTCGAGTAATGGTAAATCCGGTTACTTCCCAAGTAGTCATGTGAGTGTCCTGCGGTTTGGCGAAGTGGTCATGAGAGTGACCTCATCAGTCCAGATTAACGACGACAAATTCGGCCCTGTGAAATTGTTTGAGAATCAGGTTGAACAATTTTTGTTTATTCGTGTGAATCGGTAAATTTTTCGTTTTTGTTTTTTCTTTCTTAATTCTATTACAACTTTTACTTCATTTTGTAAAAAATACTGTCGCCATTTTCTTCTTTCTCGTGCCTTATCCTTTCGGGACATTGGCGACCATCGACCTCCACAAAACCCGATCTTTAACACTTTGTAGTAGCTGAAATGTGGTGAGAATCAACAAGTGACACAAGGACTTCACGAATGTTATTCGTTGTTGACCGCCATCTCTTTTCTATAATTTTAATTCTCAAATTTTAATTGAGATTATTAAAATTTGTTAATTCCTCAATCTCGAACAGATTGTGGTAATGGAGGAGTGTTATGGAAATGACGTTGCTCTTGTAAGAACCGGCGGCCTCTCAAACAGAATTCATTGCCCGCTGAATTATTTAGAAGAAGTTTATTCTTACGTGCAAATTGGATGAATGAAGGATCGTTTATTCCTTCATTCATTCCTCATTTATTCATTCGTTTATTTGTTTATTCGTTCGTTCTTTCATTCATTTATTAAAGAAATTTGAATTAACAATAAAAATGATAGTAAGTTATTTATTTATTCCTTTATTTATACAAAGTTTATCAATTTTTAAATTACAAAACCATGTCATGCAGGCGCACACACACACGTTCACAAAAAATTTATAAATTGTTATAACGGTATGATTGAAAAGTCGAGCTTCAGGGCATAAATTATAACATTTTATTATTACTTGTAAAACTGACTTTTATTATTATATTAATTATAGTGAATATTTAAAAATAATTGTTTGTGTGTTATTTAGTTTAGTTGTATAGAACGCACTAATGTTAGATAAGATATTTCAAGAGATTTCAATAAATAAAGTTTTAATTAATCAATTAATTAATTACTCAGTTAATTAACTCAGGGGTTGGCAAACTACGGCCCAGGGCCGCATCCGCGAAAAATAATTCTTCCCCGGGTCGAAAAAATTTGCTATTTTAGTACATATGCGGCCCTTCAAAGATAAAATAGTTTTCAATGCGACCCTCACAGCAAAAAGTTTGCCCACCCTTGAATTAACTTATCGATAAATTAATTAATTAGCCAATCAGTCAATTAATTAACACTTCAGTCCTTCAATAAAAATCTGTTCAATCAGTCATTTAATCGAAGTTTCAACTAGAAAATGAGTCAATCATCAGTTAATCAATCAACAATTTTTTCGATTAATCAATCCTTTAATTAGTTAATCAATAAATTAGTAAAACAGTTCAATTACTCAATCAATCAGTCATATAACTACCTCCGCCTATATTAATTTACCCTTATAACAATAGACTATTATATATATATATATAGACTGTAATATATATATATATATATATATATATGTATTTATTTATATTTATATGTTTTTTTATTTATATATACCTACACCAATGTTTTGCATGTAAATTTTCTTATGATTATGTGTGTTTTTGTGTGTGTGAGTATGTGAGTGTGTGTGAGTATGTGTCTGTGCGTGTCTGTGAGTATGTGTGTGTGTGTGTTTGTGTGTGTGTGTGTGTGTGTGTGTGTGTGTGTGTGTGTGTGTGTGTGTGTGTGTGTGTGTGTGTGTGTGCGTGTCTACGTTTATACATTCTTCGCAAACTGCAGATCAACTATCATATCAATTCTTAGATTTGTAACATTACGGTGTGGTGATTCGTTAACAATGTCTTGTTGATTAAAACTTGAATAGTAATTATGGAAAAATTGATAAAAAATTATTTTTACATCTGATAGAACAATTTTTTTGAGATAAATCTATGAATTTTTAAGAACAATTTTAACGTTATATCATCGTCGTCATAATGTTTTATTTTAATGTTCAGCGCTACATAATCAATTTCAAAAACGTTTGTTTCGTTTTCACTTTTAAAAATTTTAAAATTCGAATCGGAGTTAAAGACATGAAGACATTTAATAAAAATATTAATAAAAAATAATTTTGAAAAGTATTTTAAAAAATTGATTTAACATTAATTAAAAGTTATTTTAATATTAATAAAAAATTTTATTAACTAATATTTAAATTGTAAAAAATTATGTCTGAGTGTTGTAAATCAAACTGCAAATTTGTAGAAATGGAAATTGAGAAAGTAATTGGATTTGATGGTAGGTTAACGAATCATTTTATTTCTATTTTCCATATAAAAAAATTTATTTAAAGAAAAATTACTATTATTTAATGTACTAATAATGGTAGTATTAGTAATACTAACTAAAGTATAGCCACACACAACTGTATTTTTCCTTTGCTTAAATTTTCTTTAGATTAATCATTAATCATTAACATTTATTAGATTTTATATTTAGAGTTTTTAAACTATATGATATATCTCTTCTATACTATAGAATAGATAGATACTTATAATGTTATATTTTTTATAAGTACAGCCACATTTACTTCATTTAACAAGACTTACACATACATTACTATTGAAAAAATTTTAAAAATATCTCAAATCAGGAACGATCGTAAGGGGCCTCAAGTGTCACCCTGATGGCTACCACATCGTATACGCAGTGGGCAACATGGTAGTTATAGAGCATACCGAGACGAGATGTCAATCATTCCTTCAGTACAATAAGGACGACTGCGAGTACCACAAAATTAGGATTTCCTGTTTAGATCTTTCCAAAAGTGGTATTTACATTGCTGTTGGTACTGTTAATAAGTCCATCTCACAGGTTTGGCGCCGAATTTAAATGGAAAAATTATTTTTCTTATTATATTTTTGAATTTGTTTAGGAGTTTTCAGAGGTTTCAAATGCAAACTCAGTGTATATAAATAAGTACGCATACATGTGATTTAAGGCATCATGCACATTCATACATAGAAGCAACAGCACCACCAGACATTTTAACTATAACACAAGCACTTTGATTATAAATATAAATCTGATTTATTATAATACAAAAACTAAAACAATGAATTTCTACAAGTTTAAATCATAAAAATATCACTTAACCCCGCCCCAACATCTGTCAATCAAAAAAAAGTCGGACATTTTGATTTGGTGTTTCGCCGACAGAACGTTGTATGCTAAATACAGTGCACACAGAATCGAGGTGGCAACGTTAATGTTCAGCTGCTGCGATAAATACCTCTACTCAATTGGCGGAGCAGACGATAGACTGCTAGTATTAGATGAATGAAAGTGAATGTGTGAATGAATGAATGTGTGAATGAGTGAATGTGTGAATGAATGAATGTGTGAATGAATGATGCAGTTAATGAATGAGGGAAGGATTGTTTAAAAATTTTTTGTTTATTCGCTGTAGATTTTATAGCTGTGTGTATATACGTGGTTTTATAGATTTGTTTGTTGGTTGGCTGGCTGGCTGGCTGGTTGGTGGGCTGGTTGCTTAGTCAGTTGATTGGTCGACCGACAGATAACAACATTAACAAAAATAGCAATATTGATTACTAGACAAAGCACAAAATATTACTACCTATTACTAACCTGGTAACATTTTCTCCAGCCTAGTTATGTATTCAGTATGTGAGAACAAACTTGGATGCAGTATTCGTGCCCAGAGAACCACGACTGGCTGTGCAAGGCACATACAAACTGCCTACAAGTCGGATTGTAAATTTGTTACAGCCGGCAGATGAGTTTTTTTTTTTGGTTTATTGTGCAATCCTAACTTACGCATATCTAACTCATTACATATCATTCTATACTCGAACTTGCGTGTCAGGAAGACTGCAAGATTCACACGAAACGACGCACATGCATACACACCACACGACTGACAGACATATTTTGTATGCTCGCCCAATCAGCACATCATATGAGCGTATGTATGTGTGTGTACGTATGATAGTTTGTGAGTTTCTGACAGAGACGGTATTCGAATCAAGTCATTGCGTATTAGCAGCACGAAATACGGCACTTCTGCCGACTGAGCTAACTCACCGACCGATAAATGGTATTAGCTATAATAATAATAATATATAATTATGATAATTATGATAGTTATAATGTTAGTTATCGTTACTATTATCATTTCCGTATATAAGGATACATTACGAGTGTGGATATTAAATGAAGAAACGCATAGGATGCAACCGAATGAGGTCCTGTTGAAGAAATTAGCTAGGAACTTTACTTGCTTAGATGTATGTGTGTATAGGTGTGTGTGTTTGTTTGTTTGCTTGCTTGTTCGTTCGTTCGTTCGTGCCCGGTTGTTTACGTTCGTGTTTGTTTACCCATATGTGAATGCCCTATCGCAGTAATGACGTAAAGCACGGCACTCCCTCCTACCGACTGATCTAACCAATAATAATATTTTCAGTTATTCCTAATTATCATTCATATTTATGTCATAATTATTCATGATTATTTAAAAGAGTTATGATTTCCCTATAAGATTTGTTCGTCTGACGAGTTGGGCTATGCTGGTACGTCAAGCGGTGACATTGTAATCTTCAATATGAACACCTGCGCCCATCTGACCACAGTGCTCAGAAAGACGCCGTTTTGTTGTGGTTGGTTGTGGCTGCTGCTGCACTTGCTGCTGTTGCGTTTTTTATGTCAATTTATTTTTGTTCTTGTTTCTTATGTTATTATTATTTTTATTTCTTTTATTATCATTACTGTAAGGCCTGACACAGCTGTCGTTGAACCAGGCCACTAAGGAGTTCATTGTTGGCGGAGGTGATGGTACTCTGGCGTTTGTCAATCAAAAAATGATTAGGACTAAGTATGTGTGTTTGTGCGTGCGTGCGTGTGTGTGTATGTTTATATATGTGTGTGTTTTTATATGTTTTCATATATATTTGTGTGTATATATTTTTGTGGTACGTTTGTATTCAAAGGCGTGAAAAGATGTTAGAAGGAAAGATCACATCAATTGTCTCAAGGTCAGGGTCAACTTATGAGGTAGGTTGACCATTCATTCAATCAATCAACTATTCATTCATTCATTCATTCATTCATTCATTCATTCATTCATTCATTCATTCATTCATTCATTCATTCATTCATTCATTTATTCATTCATTTAAACAATCAATCAATCAATCAACAAACTATCTCTCAATCAACCAACCAATCAGTACTTCATTGGGACAGATGCAGGTAATGTGTACAAAATCAACTTCATAACCGCATTCAAGTGCTCGCTGGCGAAGACATCTCACATGTCAGTCGTCAATGACTTCTGCCAGCCATAGTCAGCTATCTCTTTTTTATTAGTTTCATTAAACTTTTTTAACATTTACCAGAAAAAGTAAAATAATCATTCTACCCATAGTTATTTATTTATTAATTCATTTATTAATGCCTTAATTAATGAATTAATTTATTATTATTTATTATCTTTTTAGCGGGAATTCCGACCTGTTGGTGAGCGGATCGCACGAGCAGGTCAGAGTGTGGTCGATGAGGGAATGTAAAGAGTTGGTGCGCATGACCGTCCCCAATCATACATGCCTCGTGGTGCATGTTCTCAAGGATGGCAGTGCTATCTTAAGTGGTTGGTCGGTTGGTTGGTTGGTTGGTTGGTTGGTTGGTTGGTTGGTTGGTTGGTTGGTTGGTTGGTTGGTTGGTTGGTTGGTTGGTTGGTTGGTTGGTCGGTCGGTTGGTTGGTTGGTTGGTTGGTTGGCTAGTTGGTTGGTCGGTTGGTTGGATGGTCGGTCGGTCGATTTTAAATAATTGAATGAGTGAGTGATTGGGTGAATGAGTGGATGATTGAATAAATGAATGATTGAGTGAATTAGTGAGTGATTGAGTGAATAAGCGAGTGATTGGTTAACAAACTGGCTGATTGATGGATCAAATGAATGAATCAATGAACCGAATGATTTGCTAAACTTTGCTAAACATCTACACACACACACACGCGCACAAAGGTTGGAGCGACAGTCGAATCAGGGCTTACTACCCCGAGTCTGGTCAACCCATGTTCCTCATCAACAATTCTTACGGATCGAAAGTTACAGCCCTAACCGCAACTTCATCGGCCACTGGTAGTAGTAGTAGTAGTAAAGGTGGTGTTAGTAGTAGTATTTGTAAGAGGGTTATTAGCGGAAGTAATCTTGGTCACGTGGTCATCTGGAATGTGCCCGCCATTTGCGCGAATATGGTGTGTGTGTGTGTAAATTATTATTATTATTATTGTTGTTGTTGTTGTTGTTATAATTACGGAAATAATAATCATCGTCACCGGATTGCTATCATCACCATCGTCGTCATCATCATCATCATCATCATCACAACAAGCATCATCATTATCATAACTCCAAAAGGAGTTTGTCTACATCACTGATCACGTGCTTCTGAAGCAGCACAGGGCTCCCGTCACTGCAGTTAAGATTAGGACTAGAAATGTGCTTTTGGAGGGTTTATTATTATTATTACTGTTGTTGTTGTTGTTGCTGTTGTTGTTGTTGTTGCTGTTGTTGTTGTTATTGTTGTTGTATTTGGTTTTGTTATTGTTGTTGTTATTATTGTTGCTGTTGTTGTAGTAGTTGTTGTTTATGTTGCTGTTGTTGTTATTGCTATTATTATTATTATGACGTCACGTTATGTTGAATAGGGCGGGAATGTTGCGAAGAGATTGATGAGATCGTGTCATGTTCGTTAGACGGCACGCTGATACTCTGGGATCTGAGGTTAACTGAGTTTTGTAATTTGTGATGGATTGATTGATTGATTGATTAGTTGAGTGATTGATTCACTGATTGATTGATTCATTAATCAATTCCTCCACTCAATCATTCATTTATTCATTCATTCATTCATAGCATTCTTTTTATTTTTTAAATTTAAAAGATTAATTTCTCTCTACTTTTTTTTCATCTCCCTCCAACAAATGTAGCAAGAAACTACCGAAAACCTCGATAAAAACGAACCACACCATGTTTAAAGATTTGGTATTCCATCCAGTCTGCCAGCAGTTTGTGGTAGCCACAGGAAGCGGTGGTCGTCTAAGCTACTTCGATGTGGTGACTACCGGTTCGCTCATGTTTCAGACGGATGACTGTGGAGTGAAGTGTGACATCAACTGTCTGGATGTCGACTGTCTGGGAGAGTTTCTAGTTACTGGAGATGATAATAAGATGGTTAAGGTATGTATGTGTGTGCGTGTTTTGTGTGTGTGTGTGTTATGTTGTGTGTTGTGGTTTGTGTGTGTTGTGGTGTGTTTTTTGGTTTAATTTCTTCTCGTAATGCGTCGTTACTTTTTAGAAATTTAAATTTGTTTTTCATTCGGTTAGATTTGTTGTTTAATTTTATTATATCCACCTAGTTCTTTCAACCTGATGGCTATGGCTATGGTGATGGTAATAATAAAAATAATAAATGAATGAATGAAAAAAATAGATCAATCAGCCAATCAAACAGTCAATCAATTAATCAATCAGTCAATCAATCAATCAATCAATCAATCAATCAATCAGTCACAGACATCACAGAACAACGATCAGCTGACTTCAAATCAAACCTCAACATTGGCCTCCCATCTAACGATTAAATAAAACAAAATATGATTAATTAAATTAATTAATATGTTTACATAACTAACTTTACATACGCATATCATCATACGTTTTTCTTAATTTAATTCACACACACACATTTAATACACACACACACATTTAATACACACACATACATACACACACACATACATACACACACACTAACAAATTTCCACTCCCCATCTCATTCAGATATGGAGATACGGAGACGGCGAGATGGTTTTCAAAGGTTGCGGACACAGCACCCCAGTTTCCAGAGTTCGATTCACTCCTGACCGTAAGAACATCATCAGCTCCGGTACCGACGGTTCTATATTCGCCTGGATATTCGATCCGAGTATTTTATATCCGGAATGCCAGCAGAAAGAAGGGAATAAGGAAGTTTGTGGCGGTGATGATGGGAGTAGACAGCTGCAACAGCTGCAGCTGCAACCAGCTGGTGGCAAGCTTGGTCAAGGTGACGCCTGCCATCTCTAATGGATGTTGAAGTTATCCCAGATGATTCATTTTTTTGATTTTATCGATTTGGTTTTGTTTTCTTTGTCTGTTTAATTTTGATTATCTAGCGATTTTATTGATTTTATTTTGTTTTCTTTACGATTTTGGTTATTTAGATTATTTTGTTCATTTTAATGGATATGTTTTTGTGAGTGTTTATTTTTTTACTGTCTTCGTTGAAAAGTTTTAATCTGTGATCTCATTTCACGGTGCAATGTTCTTTTTTTTAGTTTGAATGAAAAATTTTTTAGACAAAACAGGAAACATTCATTTATAACACGAAACTATAATATATTATAGAACAAACTCAAATGAAATGAGCCCTCATTCAAAATGCATTGTAACAGTTGAGAAATGCAACAAGTAAAACGAGACAAATGTAACTCTACCGTCCTATGATTGAGAATAACTTTTTATAAAAAACAACTGTCAGTAGTTCGTTTAATAACTTTTCATTTGAAAACATAGATCGAGCGGTTCTTCTTTTCCAACTTCGCCAGAATCTCGCGACAGTTTTCGGCCAGTTGGTACAGTGGATTGGTTGTCCTTTGATTATTCAGTCTAATTATCTGCTGTGGGAACATGTACTTGGCCTGGTTAAAGACTCCGGGCAGTCTCGTTTCGTTAGCTACGTGGTTTAGGAAGTTTTTACTTTTTCTTATCGTCGGTCGCGAGAGGACCTGCGTCTCAATGACGCTCTGTTTGTACTGCTTCCACATCAGATCTTTCTCAATCAGGTCGCAAATTGTTGTCTCGTCCTGATACGTCTGCGCTTTTTTTCTCATTTCATTTTTATCCACCCCTAGGTGCTGTATCAATTCCAGTAGCAACGAGCCCGATAACTTTATAACTACGCAATCTCGACTGATTAAACAAAATTGATTTTTTATTCGCTTCCTGCTGTCCTTTTCCTCCTGAATCCTCTCCAGTCCGTAGCACTCTCCTTCATATAAGGTTCTGATTCCAACGTAGATGGGCGTTATCAACACTGTTCCAGAGTCCTGTATGTTGGTCAATCGGACGTCAGCAACTTCACTAACCAACGACGACAAGGAATATTTGTCAGAAGAAAATTTAGTTGTTTGGCGTGAATTTTTTATGAAAGGGTTACACAGATTTACATCATTTGCGTTCTTTGGGTTTACCTGCTTCAAAATTGGATCTAAAAACTTTCTCGAAGCGGCTCCTAATGTTTTCGGTAGTGATTTATTTTTTTCAATATCGTGGCATTTTTTGTTTGAAGTCACTTTAACGACGTCTAATTTTCCCTGCAGAACAAACAAGACGACATCAGAATCTTTCTCCAGCACATTGTGAAGTATGAACGATCCGCTGGGATAGCCTTCCGTGTAACTAATGTTCGCCAGATCGTAGACAGCGTTGTCAGACCAACTGTCGATGGGACTCCACTTTCTAAAAAATTCAAATCGATCCTCGGCCTCCCTGACTTGCACGGCGTCGATTCCTTCCTTGATGTACGTCGTTTTGTAGATGGCTAAAAATTCGCAGTTTGTTGCACAAACGCAGAGCCGCGTCTTACCAGTGTGCCCGATGCAAGCACCCCTTTTAAGCGAAAGTTTCTTCTTCGTGCCTATCAAGTTAGAGCCTTCCTCTTCTTTGAACACCACGTTAACAATTCCAGAATAAATGAAATAAACTCGGATGGGGTGACGGTTTTCTAATGTCAAAACTCTTTTCGGTTCGCATTTGAAGTATTTCACGTGTCTGGCTATGGACCATCTGAGCTTTGTGGAATAATTTTGGAAGATTGGAAGGTCCATCATGATAGCGTAGATGGTCATTATGTCCTTGTGCGTTCTCAGAGCCATTGGCTTTTGCATTATTTTGACCGCTCCTGTTGGTATTGAGAACTTTTTAGAAGCGGCATAATCTTTTGGATTGTATTTAACGTTGCTGCTCATCATGGCCTCGTTGCCCGAGGCTGTGGTCGTGTTGATAGCCACTCTGTACTGTTCGATGATGTTTCGATACGTTACTCGTTCGAGAAGGCAACCTCTCTTCTGCATAGCTCCGTAAGCCGTGATCATCAGCACGACTTTCCTTATGATGTCCATCCAGACGAAGTCCGGTGGCAGTCTTCGAAACTGTTGCTTTCGTTTGTAGGTCTCCTCGGCCGACAGCTGGCCATCGATGTTTGGTACGAGAGGTGATTTTGCAGCCGCTATTCTTCGTTTGTGTTTCAAGAGACATCTAATTTTCAACTTCCTTAACTGGTCTTTTAAATTTTCTTGAGTATTTTTTAAAAACTTTTTATGAAGTCTATAAGAACTCATTAAGATTGGTTTATCCATATTATTATTCAACTTAATTTTAAGATTTACTAAATCAGTTAGCAATTACGTTTGGTAAAATTGAATCGAATTATTATTTTTTATTGAAACTACTAATATTAAATAATATTTCATTACAAATTTATGACAATTATTATAGTTTATAAACATTTAAATGACAACAGGAGATCAATCGTAAACACGCATTTGTCAACAACTATTTCAACTGGCATAACTCGCTAACGGTTCGCCAAAGACAAAAAACAACGTCATCGACAAATTCAGTTTTGTCATTTTAAAATTTTTGTAAATAATTCTTAACAATTTTACCATTAAATAGTAATTAAACACACTTTGAAAGTCATTTTACAAGTTAATTAACGAAAAAAAAATAACATAATCAACTAGTAGCAATCAACATTTAATTACAATTGTTTGAAAGAGGTTTAAAACTGAAAAAAACCCTTCTAGTTAACATTACTTCAAACGTAAAATACTTTGAATAAAGAACATTTTAAAGTTGTATGAGCCATCGTTAGCAATAAATTAACATTAATCCAAATAAGCTAATCTTGAATTAAAAACGTTTAATGGAAAAATATCCTAAACCCGTAACGAATTTGACAAATTTTTCTTCTCTTTATATTTGACCTCCGACCTCACGTAACACTTCCAGTAGAGGTTGTTCTTAATTTGGACGCATATTTCCTCCTCAGTCGGCAACATTACGATGGCATTCTTCAGTTCTTTTCTATCTATTCCGAGGATTTCGATCAAATTTTTGAGCTCAGTGCACGGGGTTCTGATGACCAAACTATCGCGACTGATAAGGCAGAATTTATTTCTATAATCCTGCAAATGATCCGGATCGACCTTACCCAGGCCGTAGCATTCGCCCCTTACGAGTGATTGGATTTTCAGGTAGACGGGTTTTGTACTTTTCTTCATGAGTTTTTCCGTAGATTTTTCAAACTTAGTCGCTGGATGAGTTAGCCTCTTAGCAATGAAATGTGCTGTTTTTTCTGGGCAATCAGCGGGTTGTATTAAAGGTTTTGGGATGATTTTCTTCAAAATGGTGTTACTGAACTGAGCGAGTTTTTGTTTTTTAATTTTAGCCGGATTATCTTCTTCTTTGCCGTGTATTAAAATTTCGCAAGCTTTGTACGTTGTTACTTTCACAATGTCGACGATTCCTTTCACTACAAACCATATTAGGTCGGAATCTTTTTCAGCAATGTCTTGAAGTATTAAGGAACCTGTTGGATAATTGTCGATAAAACTAACGCTGGCCAAATCATAAACCGCATTGTCTGACCAGTCGGATATTGGAAGCCACTTTCGAAAGAATTCAAATTTTTCTTCAAATTCTTGCTCCAAAACGGCGTACAACCCTTTCTCCACAAAAGTCACTTTATCGATTGTGAAGAACTCGCAATCAGTTGCGCAAACACACAGCTGAGTCCGAGCCATGTGTCCTATACAGGCGCCTCTCGTTAATTTGATCGCTTTCTTGTGGCTAGTGGTTGTGAAATCCTCGTTCTCGTCTGCATGAAACAGAACGTTAACTTCACCTGAATAGATGAAATAAACTCTGATTGGATTGCGATTTGATAGAGTCATAATTCTTCTCATCTCGCACTTGAAATATCGAAAATATTTTGCCAGCTTCCAGCACATCTTCCTGCTGTATTTCATCTGAAAAATCGGCAAATTCAACATCACGGAATAAATAGCCATTATGTCTTCCCAACTCCTGGAATGTTCATTTTTTGCCATAATTTTGATGACATTAGCTGGGACCGTGGCGTCCTGTTCGCATATGTAGGCCTTATAGTCGTAGGTCAAGGCCATAGTTTCCATAGCATTGAGGGGCACTCTGAACTCGTTCAGGATGCTTTTCTGAGTAACTTTTTCGTGCTCTTTGAATGGCTTCATCATGGCTCCGTAAGCCAGAATCATAAGAACTGTGTTTCGAACAGCCGATAGCCATATCATTTCAGGCGGCTGAGATCTAAAAGCATTTATCAAATTCGTTTCTTCAAAATCTCTCCTCTCCACTGGCATCAACAAGCTAGGAGCGTAACCAGCTTTCCGTCTGCAAGCTCGCAGCCACGCTAATCTTTTTAGCGCGGTTAAGTTCTCTCTCAGATTGCTGTTGATGGAGTCGGTGTAGTTCTGGTCGACGAAGCTGGCCACAATTCGCTCGTGCAGTCTGCATTTTATTTTTTTTAGTCGAATGTCTTCCAGTGGCGGAAGTTTCAAAACCTTCGTTCGATCTCTTCGATGCATCTCGCCTGCCGAGTTTGCCGATCTGATGAGTTGAGTAACTATAACTTTATTTCATTTGGTTTTTAATAAACCCAATAAATGTACTACGGTTTTACACGTTGGTATATTTTTATTTTTTATTTCAGATGTAAATTCAATAGCATTTAAATAATCGCCTGTTTTCAACGTGACGTAGTGTAAAATTTAATTGTCAATGAAATTTCTTGTTTTCGATATTTATTATTTAAAATTTTCAAACGATATAAATAAATAGTGAAAACTTGAAAAATCATCACACAGGATTCAAAATTCGGATTATAAAATTAAATTTATAATCCTGAAATGTCATTTCATCATCTATTTCATTTAATCATTTCATCTAAGTGTGCTGATTGATCTTTTCTTTAATCTGTGGAGTGTTTTGTACTGCTTAATGAATTTATCGGAAAAAATTGGCGCTTCATCATTGTCGTTTGCTAAACTATCTTCTTCCTCATCATTGTAGCCATCAAGTTTCGAATAAGTGAAAGAAGAGGATGGGGGGTGAGATTTTTCCCTGCCGGAAGGAAACAGTTGGTAAACACCTTGTCGTTTGCCCATGCGTAGTAGGTCAAGCGACCTTTTGTCCATATCGGTGACCTCGTACAACTTCCTTCCGGACGTAATCGAACTCTTTCCGGTCAAAATCATGGCGGCTATGATGGCTGGAATTGTGTGTAAGAACATTTGTTTTTTTTATAATTGATGTATGCATCGTTAACATTTACCTATCATAATAATGACCTCTTATAAGAAAACCAAGTAAAATATATTTAATGAAGTAGGATTCAAATTTGTTTGATAATATTTCAGATGAGAAAATCAAAAATTTAGATTAGCGAGTTACTTACATTGTATTATAATTAATTATAATAAATAAGGTTAATAGTTTATCTGTTATGGTTTAATTATTTTTAAACTAATAACTAACCAATAAAGATGAAACGGGTTGATTGTAGTTGAAGCATTTTTGTACGCTGAGGTACTGGTAGCAAATGTTGTTGTGTTGTTATTATTATTATTGTTGTTGTTGTTTTTGTTGTTGGATGGTTATTTGTTGAAATTCTTTTAAAAAAATCTTTATTAACGAATAATTGAATGAAATAATAAATAATTTACTAATCATTCACTAATTAATGTTAATTATCGTAATTAGTTAATTAAGTATTAATAGCTAATTTAACATTCATTAATGAAACATCCATCTAAAAATTAAAAAGCTACGTTATGATAATGAGACAACGCAATTGAAATATAGTTAAAACCATCAAAATAAAGCAATTTTATTCACACGCTTATACATTTTAACCAATCACTTGATAGAGAGAAAGCTTATTTATAATGTTTTAAAAAATATTTTTATTAAAAAGCATAAACAGTTCATACAAACAATTTTTTCAGTTTTTTTCTAAAATATGACTAAAATAAATTAGAAAGTCAAATGTTGCATGCAGATAGAAATGAACCCATAACTACTTAATCATCATTTCTTGGCCTTTTTATAGGCTCTAGAAACTGACACACACACGCACGCACACACACACGCACGCGCGCACACACACGCACGCGCATCCTCACATACCTACATTGTCTGTTGTTGTTTGTGGTTCATTTGTATTTTAATTTTAAACCCACATAAAACACATTTGATGAATTTTTTAAAGGATTTAATTCAATAAGACGCAGATATATTGCACCAATAGCCCGTGTACAATACCCCGATCAACTTTATGTATTTGGGTAGTTTGTGTGCGTGTGTGCGTGCGTGTGTGCGTGTGTATGCGTGTTAAAGAGTTTATTTAAAATAGTGACTAAGGTTTTTCCAATTATTCCAAATGCTTTTTTTGTTTTGTTTGATTGCAAGTTTCTGCTGAGATAGACAAAAATGAAAGAAAAGAGAGAAAGTAAAAATACGAAGAAAAGAAAGAGAGAGAAAGAGATAGAGAGAAGAAAGTTTGAGAAAAAAGACTAAACCAAAAAGAGAGAGAATATATAATTTGGAATTTTTTTTAACTTTATTAAAAATGCATAACTGTTGTTAATACTACCAATGCAATAGCTTTTTTAGATCTATACTACCATCATTATAAGAGGAAGTATTTTTTCCAATAGTTTATCGTAGTAGTAGTAGCAACAGAAATTGTTGTAGTATATGTGTTGTGTGTGTTTGTGTGAGTTGGAAAACCCATATAAATGTGTGTGTGTGTGTGTGTGTGTGTGTGTGTGTGTGTGTGTGTAAGAGTGGGGAATCCATATAATCAAGAATCTAGAAGATGTTATCACAACTGATCCAGTCTTAAGTTTCTTCTTAATACATGAAAATGCAACAAGTTTGTTTTTATACGTGTGATGTGTGTGTTTGTATGTATGTATGTCTGGGTGTATGTATGTATATGTGCGTGTTGGAAAGATGTATGGATGTGTATGGAGGTATGTACAAATGTACGCATGTATGCATGTGTGGCGAATATGAGAGAGGTAGCAGATATTTAGCAAGACATCATCATACGTTTGGTGACATATATTTAACAACAAACAACCTTTGCATCAAATATGCATGTATATCTCTCTGTATGTAATACGAGCGTGTTTGAATGTATGTGTGTTTGAATGCATGTGTACGTATGTAATATTTGTTTGTTTGCATGTTTGGTTGTGTTCGTGTGTTCGTCAAATAAATTTATATTAAACAGCTTTAGTTTTACTATAAATTTACAAAGTTTCAAGGAAAAATCATTTCAACTCAGTACTGAGAGAAAATCATTATATGGAGATGACGCAATTAATATTCTGAAGATGTTGTTCTCGCTGCAGTGCCTTACGTACGTACGTACACACACACACACACGCACACATATACACACGCACGCACACACAGACGAACTCAAAAAAACAGATTGGCAGTTTTTTTTTCAAAGTTTTTTAAAAACATTTCGACTATCCAACTGAAAAAAAATACAGATAGCAATAATAAAATTAAAAACACAGCCAATAATGCGCATAATAAACAACAAAAATAATGATAAATAATAATAATAATAAATAATAAAATAATAATAATAAATTAATCCACATAATTTGCTCTAATCTTGTCACTCGTTCTCCAAATCCTAAAAAGATTATAACGCCAAGCCCGTCGATTTAAATTATAAATATATAAAAATAATAATAATTATAATAATAACTATTATTATTATGTTGTAACAATTATAACCCAACAGTAATATTTCATAATAAAATCATAATTCTTTTCTTTTTTTCATCTGTGCATACGGTAGGGCGAATAGGCAGTGTATGAAACATCTTGGATCCTATAAAGAAAATAATACTAATAATATTATTACTATAATAAACAATTATTATTATAGTTATTATTATTATTAATTATAACAAGCTATCGGTCATATGTTTCGCCTACCTTTTCTGCTCATCCATATTGGCTGTCAAATCTTCCAATCTTTTCTGGAGATTTTCTGGTAAAATTAATGAAATAATTAATTAATCAATCAACTAATCATAAACCTTATTACTTACTTACTTAATTAATTAATTAATTAACAAATAATCTTACAAACATAGGCAAACGTTCAGACATACAAGCATACAAACACGGATAAACAAATACGCCAAAGCAAACAAGAATATATACATACATATTATACGTAATTTAGTTAATACAAATTTCAATCATACATACATACAAACAATCATACGCACACACATACATACATACATACATACATACATACATACATACATACATACATACATACATACATACATACATACATACATACATACATACATACATACATACATACATACATACATACATACATACATACATACATACATACATACATACATACATACATACATACATACATACATACATACATACATACATACATACATACATACATACATACATACATACATACATACATACATACATACATACATACATACATACCTGTATTTCTATCTATCCATTGAAGAGAATCTGTATGTGCATTTAATATCTTTGATATCTGGCGAATCTGGAGTTAAAAGTTTTTTTTCTTCAATTCAAACTCAGTGCTTACTTTCTTGCAAAATGATGAAAACGAAACTAACCAACCAACCAACCAACCAATCAATCAACCCACCAATCAACCCACCAACCAACCAACTAATGAACCAACCAATCAATCAACCCACCAATCAACTAACGCTATCGTTATTGTCATCATCCCCTCCTTCGTTAACGTTGATGTGGTCAATGATTTCTTTCAGCTTACTGGATAAGACTTTCAGCTGTCCGTCTGTGCTCTCGGCAAGTCTGTATCTGAATGGGTATTTTTTGGTATTCTGTTTGTATTATCCTTATATTTGTATTGTATCGTTTTTTGTTTTTTTTAGGTACTCTGTTTGTATTATCCTAATATTTGTATTGTATCGTCTTTTGTTTTTTTAGGTATTCTGTATGTATTATCCTTATATTTGTATTGTATCGTCATTTGTTTTTTTTTAGGTATTCTGTATGTATTATCCCTATATTTGTATTGTACCGTCTTTAGTTTTTTTTTAGGTATTCTGTTTGTATTATCCTTATATTTGTATTGTATCGTCTTGTATCTTTTGATTAGTGGGACTGTCACACACAAACTAACATTTGATCCCTCTCAATATCAGCATGGGCCACATAGTAGCCCTGGGGTTTTTGCAAGGACCCAACTTTCTCCTCCAATGGCTTTAGGATTTCTTCTAGCTCATTCTGTTGGCCCAAAACGAAATCCAGATCCTCGTCTAGTCTGCTCTGGTCCATCTTCATTTTCTCCAGGTCCAAGTTTAATTGAGTTATCTGAGAATTTAAGGTGTAAAAAATATGTTTTTTTATGTTTGTGTGTTTGTTTGTGTGTGTGTGTGTGCGTGCGTGCGTCTGTGTGTGTGTGTGTGTGTGTGTGTGTGTGTGTGTGTGTGTGTGCTTGCTCTTTTCAACATCAAGTTATTATCAATCTTATATACCTGCAGTCATTTTGGTAACATTCTTTAAAAATGCTGCAATTCAGTCACATATAAAAAAGGTTTTATATGAAATGGCGTAATGCCACACACGAACACACACACACATACAAACACACACACACAGAGAAAAAGGAGAGAGAGAGAGAGGGAGAGAGAAACGCACTTTTTCACCATTTTCCATGAGTACTCTATCCCAAGCGTTTACAAATGTAGCCTGGTGAAGGAACAATTTCTCCTGCTCCTGCAATTCGGTGGTCCACTTGTTAATCAAATCTTCAAGCTGGCTGTATGTCGTCGATGATGAAATCACTGTTGTCGATGCCGTTGCAGATAGGGACGTCAATGCAGTTGTTGTCGTCGATGTTGCTGCTACTGACGATGACGACGACGCTGTAGCTGACGCTGACGACGACTGGGGTATAGATAATGGCAACAGTGGAAGTTGTGGTGATGCCGATGAAGCTGGTGTTGTTGCTGCCAGAGATGCTGCTAGGTTGAATCCGCCGACGGTTGACGTTGTCGTCGTCGTCGATGTCGGGGTTGGCATGGTTAATGAAAAGGTCGGTAGCTTCGGCTGTAATTGCCTGTGTTGGGGCAGTGAGGTTGAAATTTTGACTACTCTCAACATTATTACAGGGGTATATATCAGGTTTCATATTAACACCCCACTAAATAAAAATCAGTGAAAAATGATTTTAATCAAATTTAATCGTCTTCATCATCATCACTAACGTATCAGCAGTTATAGCAGTACTACCACCAAAACTACCACCAAAGCTACCGAATCCACCCAAGCCGCCGCCGCTACTGCTGCTGCTACCAAAACCTCCGTCGGCACCGCTCAAAAGCGATCCACCACCTGAATTAGCAGACAGGAAAACACGAAAAAATGGTAGGAACAGATTAATAAATGAATGGACCAGCCAATAAACAGACAAATGAAGGATAGAAGAAATGAACGAACGAGTGAATGAATGAACGAACGAGTGAATGAATGAATGAGCGAGTGAATGAATGATTGAACGAGTGAATGAATGACGAATAAATAAATGATTCAATAAATCAAATCTTCGTTATCACTAGACCACCATCCACAATATTAATCATAAGCAAAATGATAAAACATCATCAAATAGACAAAAGAAACAAACCTAAGTTACTAGCTGTGGTTGTAGTAGCAGATGTAGCAGCAGTAGAAGTTATAGGTTGCTTAAAGAGAAACCCACCTAGCCCATTAGTAGAAACTGTAGTAGTAGCAGCTGTAGTAGTAGCAGCTGTAGCAGTAACAGCAGCAGCTCCCATTGTAGACATGCTACTTGGTGTGGTTTGAGACAGAAGGCCAACCAACGATGAATTTGCTGAGGTTAAATCATCATTATTTTATTAACTATCATAACATATCATCATCATCATTACCATCATTATCGTCATATTTACTATCATGAATATGTTTGTGTCGTCCAAAAATTTCCACATCATCATAACATCAACCATTATCACACCATTCTCACATCATCTCAACCATTGTTCCTACCAGCAGCAATAGATGAAGCTGTAGTTGCAGTAGTAGTAGCAGTAGCGGCTCCTCCGCCCAACTGGAAACCACCAATACCCAATCCACCGACCCCATTGCTGCCACCACCTAACTGAAACCCACTACCACCACCACTACCACCATTACCACTACTACCACCTAATTGAAATCCCAGACCAGCACCACTACTACCACCACCTAATTGGAATCCTCCACCAAAGCCACCAGAAGTAGTCGCCACAGATCCAAGTTGAAAACCAACACCACCACCACCACCGCCAAAACCACCAGCAGTATTACTACCAAAACCACCAGTACCTAAAGTAGAACCACCACCACCACTACTATTACCAAAACCAGTAGTGGCATTATTACCAAAAATTGAAGTACCAGTACTCGTATTAGCAGCAGTAGGAGCAGCAGTGGCAGTACCACCACCTAACTGAAAACCACCGAAACCTCCCCCATTGCTGGCTCCACCCCCAAGAGAAAAACTACCAGTTTTGGCATTACTATCCTGGGTTGAGCCACCGCCTATACCCCCTCCAGTACCGAATCCGCCGGCTGCACCAAACCCTCCAATAGTACCACCAGTACCAAATCCTCCAGCAGTACCACCAGAAACACCAAAACCACCAGCGGTAACAGAAGTAACTGCAGGAGCGCCAAATCCACCGGTTGTATTGGCAGTACCAAATCCTCCAGAGGTACCAAATCCTCCAGAGGTACCAAATCCTCCAGAAGTACCAAATCCTCCAGAAGTACCACTGGTAGCCCCAAAACCTCCTCCAAACCCAGTGGAAGCAGTAATTGTAGCACTTGCACCAAACGATGAAAACATGGAGCCACTATTTGTGGTAGCAGCAGCTGAAGATGATGCATTTTGAAATCCAAATCCACCACCACTACCACCACCAGTGGTGAGGTTCAGACCTGCCCCACTGCCACCACCGCCAAATATGGATGATGAAGCTGTACCGGCTGAATTGGTGGCCCCAAATCCAAAAGTAGCCATTGTTGTCGTGGGTGCATTTTGAGTGAGGGAACCAAACAGGCCTGCACCACCGGAATTACCACTAAAGCCAGAAGATGCGGTGGCTGCCGGTGCTCCGAACAATGTGCTGTTGGTTGGAGCTGCATTACTGGCGCCATTGTTGCTGAATGGTAGTCCAGAGAATGGTCCTGAAAATGTTGCCAGTTTGTCGAATGTACAAAATTATTCAATCAATAATTCAGTCAATCATCTACCAGCCAACCAGCATCAATCATCATCCAACCAGCCAACTAACAAACCAACCAGTTAACAAATAAACAAACAAACCAACCAGTCAACCAACCAATTAACCAATCAACAAATCAGTCAATCAATCAATCAGAAAAAACAATAACAAAACAAACCAGCTGCAGGTACAGATGCGGTTGGTGCAGCGGAGCCTGTATTGCCAAATGTAAAGGCTGCAATAACAAAAAAACAACAAAATTAAACAAAAATAGTGATTAAATAATATTAATAGATTAATAAAAATAATAAAATAAATCATATATTCGATACATATGCATTATTGTTTGTTAAATCATTCAACCAAAATCGTTTGAAATATTTCCTGGTAAATTATGATATGAAGAATTAAAAAAAAACAATCTCCAATCATTCATTTATAGATTTTATTATGTTTAATTTAATTATCCATTTTAATCACTTAATCAAATTAATTGATAATTCTACTCCATTTAAGATAGTGAAATATAAATCCAACATACTCGCTGGCCTCAATAAACCTAACATAATGGCAGATAATATTTGTAATAAACTCAAGTTCGTTTTACAGATAAAATTAATAAATCAAGAAATATCAAAAAATAAATTTTAATCAGAATAAACTTATTTATAATTTAAAAACATCAAAAAAGACATCTCCACTAAGACTATAAATGAGAATCAAATTTTTCATACAACAGGCCATACATAAAAATCCTTAATAAAAAAAATATAATAGCGGTAATAATAATAAATAACATTTGTCATAATAAGATTTTAAAATGGAACATTTATTATATAACATAAATACACATATAATTCTCTCTACATATATAATCTATCTATCTCTTTCTCTCTCTTTCTGTATATATATATATATATTCTTCTTTTCACTCTTTCTTTCTTTCTCTCTCTCTCTCTCTCTCTCTCTCTATATATATATATATATATCTTTCTTTCTCTCTCTTTCTATCTCTCTCCCTCTCTCTCTCTCTCTCTCTCTCTCTCTCTCTCTCTATATATATATATATATATATATATATATATATATATATATATATATATATATATATATACAGCAACATATTCACATTAACCCCTGCTTAATGATATAATTGGAAGCACAATCATACAAAAATGTTGATTCCACATGATTGAGTTAAAAAGCATATATAATATAATAATGGTTTAATAGTAGAATATAGTTTTTTAGCATAACCCAGCTACATAATTGGCAGTTATATATATAAAATAAAGTTATTACTGTGCACAGTTAAATAATTATGCTTGCACATATAATAGTTATTACATTTGGATGCTATTGATATCATTTGTTTATCAATAATAATCATTTATAGACCAAATAAAGATAAACTATAATTATTTTATGTTATATCAATCATAGCAACTATATATTATATATATATATATTTATAATATAATATATATATACAATTATATATATATATAATATATATTCAGATACCAATAAATCCATTTATGTTGCATTACCATTTATTTGTCATATCATAGAGAAAGTTACTATTAGAAACTTATTTAGCTTTTTTTTCTGTCCAAATACAAACTAAAATATACATTTTAAGATCTAAATTTCATTAATAAGCGGGTGATGCGTTTCAAATGAAGTGAAGGAGGTTGTTATTTATAGCGAACGCACCTCCGAACCCGGCCCCTGAGGAACTAGGATTGGTAGTTGAATTCTGTGTTGTACTTGTAGTTGTACTGCTGCCAAACTTGAAGCCGGTACCACCGAAAGTAAAGTTAGACATTCTGAGAGTTAAACACAGCTATATGAATATAAAAAATTTAAATGGACATTGAACTAATGATTGAAAATATTTCCAAAATGGTGTTACTAATCACTAATTTGAGAAAATGTTTAAATTATCGGCGGTCCTAACATCAAAATTTCAAAGAGACATGCGTTCAGGCGGTCACACAATGTCTACGGACTTCAAAAAAATACAAAGATAATGATATATATCTATATTTATTATATATAAATTTATATGTATTATATTATAATTTTATATGTATCTTGCGATCATTGTTAGTATTCAGGATTTCCATCATCATTTTCATGCTCAGGTTTTATTTAAATCTATTGAAAAACTATCAGCTCAATTAACTATATCAACGCCACATTAAAAAAAATCGAGCTAGAAAACGTTCAGCAATACCTAATGATATCTATTCAGTTGATTCAAGATCATGGATTGGTATTATATATTTCGATGTTCAAATTATCATTAACGGCGTGATTTCCGTTACTAAATTATACATTTTCATGCTCATGAGATTGAATACTACACAAACTTAGTAAAAAAAAACAGCTATCGGCTTTATTCACTATATCAGCGCCACATTTAATAAAATAAATCTATCTATAACGCTTGCTTAGTAATTTGTAATCATGTATCTTAATTAACAAATATGTACATAATTGATAACTATTTTGGTTGATTCAAGATAATATATATCTAAAACGTTACAATGGCCATTTAAAAATTATACATTCTCATGCTCAAGAGGCTGAGTATCACATGAATCGAATAAAAAACTACTAGCTCAGATATATAGAATACATTATATTTATATGTAATAGCTTAATTTACTATACCTTATACGTTACAAACATATCTTTTTTAACCTTTTGACGTTACAAACTTTTTTTAGACACAACTAATGTCTATTTTAAACTGTATAAAATGTAGATCTATCTTTATATTGCTGAATTTTAATCGTTACAGGGGTTTGTGATTCACTATGGATATAAATGGATATGGCATAAGAATTGTTACCTGCCTAATAATTTTGCTTAGTTCTATGGAATTAAACGCTTAAACATTAAACATTTTTTCGTAGTATATATATATATCCATGATGCGAACGATGAATTTTGTAAATTTTAATGTTTACATTTCTTTGTTGCCGTCAAGTTTTTAACGTAGGCGATATTGAGTTTAGTTATTAGATTTTCTTTTGGTTTTGTCAGATTTAAACGGATCAAAATTTGGCATGGAATCAATCGGCGACGATAAAAATGGACAGCGAAAAAGAAAATTGACAACCGATTCGGATAATGAAATTGTTGAACGTTAGCTATTTTTTATAAAATACACCATTGTTTTTTATTTTTAATATCAAAATAAAATTTCAATCTGATATAAGCAAAGTTTATTTATCTATTTAAATTTAATAATATTAATTTTCTAAATTAAAAAAAAAGTGAATTAAGCAGAATATTATTTTCATTTAAGATTAAATTTACACAATTCGTAGTTTAGTGTTTTGTCAATTAAGTTAATTATCCTCATTGCATTGAGATTGATTTGATTTTATTTTAATAAAAATGCATTAAGAATTGATTTTGATATGGTATGATTTTATTAATTAATTAATTTATTTATCATTAGTGATAATTCATTAATTAATCATTATTCGTTTCAGTGATTGTGATTGAGTTTTCTGATTCCTTATTAAATAAAATTGATTAGTAATATATAATACTAATTAAATAACGATTAATTAAGGTTAAATTGTTTTTAAATTAATTAAACTAGTTAATAAATCTTATAAATAAATACTATGTGTGATATATATTTTAAAAATCAGCAAAGAAGCAAGTTGTGGTCGAAGAAGATTTGAGAAGCAGAAGCTGTCCATACCTAGATACTATAAATAGGTATTTTTATTACATGCTGTTATTATTATTATTTTTATTTCTCCATTGACCTGGTTTGAATACAAAGAAATCCCAGTGTGTTTGATGGTAATAATAATAATGAGAACTCTTTTATTCAAAGCCAAGGTAATAAATAATAATACTAATTATAAATAATAATAATAATAATGGTAATAGTAATAATAACCATAATAATAATAATTACTTTAACAATAATAATAAATGCTCGAAGGTCGGTCCTAGATTTCGACTTTGAGAAGCTATGTTCCATCTCGTTGTCACATATTAACGTCTATGCCTGCTTGGTATGTGGACGCTACTTTCAAGGTATTTATTTATTTTTTATATTATTAATTATTATTTATATTTTTTATTAACTGATAGTACCATGATAACTAGATGTAATTTAATATGATAATATAATTTGTAATAATATAATAATAATATATATTTTATTCATCGAGGTCGAGGTTTGAAGTCTCACGCGTACACGCACAGTGTCCAGGAGGGCCACCATGTTTTTCTAAATTTAGAAACAAAGAAATTTTACTGCCTGCCAGACAATTATCAAATTATTGATCAGTCTCTGGAGGACATTGTGGTTTGTTTTTGGCTCGTTCTTGGTTTTTGGTTCTATAATTATGATCTTTTTTGTTGTGCCATTAATATAACTTTAAAATTATTATTACTAATGTAATAATATTTTTTAAATTATTAATTTTACGATAGTATGTTCTCAATCCGACCTTCACCCCAGACCATATTGTCCAATTGGAATCATCTTCAAAACTTTCGAGGGCATATGATGGGTCGACATACTTACCTGGTTGGTTGGCTGGATGGGTTGATGATTTCTGATTGGTTGGGTTTCTTGATTGATTGGATGGGCGATTGAATAGTTGGTTGTTTGGTTAAGTGATTAATTGATTGATTGTTTGGTTGGTTCATTAATAACTTATGACTAACTGGTTAAAATGAGAAACTTTTACTTCTCCTCCAAGGAATTGTCGGTCTGAACAACATAAAGGCCAATGACTACTGCAATGCAGTACTCCAGGTTAAACATTATTATTATTTATTTATTAATTAATTATTAATTATTTGTTTGCATTTTTATTGTTTTTTATTATTATTTCCAGGCTCTTTCCCACGTGACTCCATTGAGGAATTTCTTCCTCCGAGAAGAGAACTACATAAACATAAAAAGGGTGCCAGGTGATCAGATGGGCCTTCTGGTCCAGAGGTTTGGTGAGCTTATGAGGAAATTATGGAATACTAGGAATTTTAAAGGTAGTGTGTATATGTATAGCTGTGTGTGTGCGTGTGTGTGTCATAAAAAATTCATTATTTTGATCAAACTGTCATCATCATCATTATGATCATCACCATTATCATTATCATGGTTCTCTTAATCAATATCATTACCATCATTATCACCATCATCAGCCCACGTTAGCCCTCATGAGATGTTGCAAGCTGTGGTTTTGTGCTCCAAGAAGAAATTTCAAATCACCAAACAAGGTCAGAATGATGATGATGGTGATCATCATCATCATATATTTTTCTATTTTAGACGTTTTCACTATCATTATCATCACATTTGTCATCACACCGCTGATCGCCATCATCATCATCATCATTATTACCATCATCATTGTTACCATCATCATCATCATCATTGTTACTATCATCATCATTACCATCATCGTCGTCATCATTATCATCAACTCAATGAAATTAGGTGATGCTTTAGAGTTCCTATCATGGTTCTTAAATACACTGGATAATTCTCTAAAAGGTCCAAATGGCCCAAAAAAAACATGCATAGGTATGTATTGTGTGCGTGTTGTTGAAACCTCTGATGAAGCTGATGATGCACGAGAGAGAGAGAGAGAGAGAGAGAGAGAGAGAGAGAGAGAGAGAGAGAGATTGACCTTTAATCTTTATTATTATGGTTATTGAAGGTGAGGCATTCAAAGGTCGGATGAGGGTGTACTCCAGGAAGCTGCCCCCGATCGAGATGAAACAGGAGGAGAAGATGAAGTTGCTAATGAGGCCCGAGTATCAGGAGGTGAGGAGGATGATGACGATGGTGGTGGTGGTGAGGATGATGGTGGTTGGAGTGGTGGTGGTGATGATAATAGTGGTTGTAGTCGTGGTGATTGTGATGGTTGAGGTGGTGATGGTGATAGTGGCACTGTTGACGTCATCATCGTCGTTATCATTTTCGACGTCACAGCTTTCATCATTGTCATTCTTTTCACTTACTAATATAACAATAATAATGAATTATCACCATCATCACCATGATAGAAAGAAGAAGACATTTCATTCCTATATTTGACCTGTGACCTTCCACCCCCGCCGCTCTACCCCGATGAAATGAGGGAAAACATCATACCCCAGGTTATGATAATGATGGTTACGATGACGACGACGATGATGATGATGATGATGGTGTTGCAGATGAATTTTATACAGCTCCTTTGGATGAATGATAATGATGAGAATTATCATCTTCATCATTATCATCATCATTCGTCTCTCTTATCATCATCATCATTCATCACTCTTATAATCATCATCATCGTCATCGTCATCAACATAATTAGGTCCCACTGATGAGCGTGCTGATGAAGTTTAATGGGGTAAATTCGAAGGAGGTGAAGACCTACAAAGACTCGACCTTGAAACGATACGAAATCACCAAACTGCCCCGCTACCTAATACTCTTTTTCAAGGTACTGTCCTTTAAAAATACAAAAATACCTACCTACAAACATACGTAGATACATATATACACACAAGTATACACACATGTATATACATTCATTTACAAACATGCATACATACATATTCACAAACAAGCATACATACATACATACATTCATACATACATTCATACATACATGCAATGCTTATCTACATTCATACATACATAAATACATACATTGTCATACTATACATACATACATATATACATACATACATACATACATACATACATACATACATACATACATACATATATACATGCATTACATACATATCTTACATACATACTCACAAACAAACAAACTTACAAACATACATGCATACATACATTACATACATACATATACACACAAACATTCACACACACATACATACAAATACTTACAGAGATTCAATAGAACAACGTTTATTCTGGAAAAGAACCCCACCATCGTCAACTTCCCCATCAAGTAAGCCCAATCTATGCATCTTATTCTAATAATAATTTATCTTTTTATTATTTAGGCTTTTTCAAATTATAATTAAATATAATTATTTGTATATTATTTTAACAATTACTAACTCAACTAACAAATTACCAAACCCAATTAACCAACCAATCAATCACCTAATCAATCAACAAACCCAATTCACCAATCAATCAATCAATCAATCAATTAGTTAACCAATCAATCACCTAATCAATCAATAAACCCAATTCACCAATCAATCAATAAACAAATCAATCAATCAACAAACCCAATTCACTAATCAATCAATCAATTAACCAACCAATCAATCAACAAACCCAATTCACCAATCAATTAACCAACCAATCACCTAATCAATTAACCAAACCGGAAATCAGAGGCGTGGACTTCTCCGAGTTACTAACTCCAGAAATCCGGGCCAAATGCAAAAGCACCATCTACGATCTGGTGGCCAACGTGGTTCACGACGGTGAAGCCACCTCTGGGAAGGGAAGCTACAGGGTCCATATCCTTCATAAGGTCGGTTGGTTGGTTGAGTGGTTGGCTGGCTAGTTGACCAGTTGGTTAGTCTGTTGTTTGGTCAGTTGTTCGGTCGGTATTTTTTTTATTAACTTTTAAGAATTGTTTATTTATTTGATCATTCATTCATTCATTTGATCATTCATTCACTCATTCACTCACTCACTCATTTAATAATTAAACTTCCAGGGAAATGACAAATGGTACGAGTTGCAGGATTTGCATGTGGTTGATATACTGCCTCAAATGATTACTCTCACTGAATCCTATATTCAAGTTTGTTGATTGATTGATTGATTGATTGATTGATTGATTGATTGATTGATTGATTGATTGATATATTGATTGATATATTGATTGATATATTGATTGATATATTGATTGATATATTGATTGATATATTGATTTATTTTTTTCAGATTTATGAATTGAGAAAGCCAGAGAAAACGGATAACCATAACAAAAGCAACTGACAAAAAAAAAATTTTAAATATAAAATAATAATTTGTAAACATAAAATAATTATTATTAATAAAATAATTAACCGATTTGAATTCATATAATAAATATACTCTACCGATCTTATATTTGTTCAAATTTTCTAATAAAACTCCCAAGAACCGACTCGCTGTGTCTGGAGTAGTGATTAATTTGATGGTAATTACAGATACAACCATGGATACATATAATATAGATATATCCATAGATACAATATATTTCATTTCACAAAAGTAGTTATATATTAAAAATTCTATTTTTAATGGGACTGCCAAGAGATGCTTCGTAATCCAAAGCAAAAATTTTGACGGGTCATTTCATAGGTCAAATTTTTTGGCTTAAGGCGATGTGGCCTCTGATTTTAGTGGCTCCATGGATTCCCAAACTTTGTTGAGTGGTTAGAACGGTTCGGAGAATACAGACGATCAACTGGTTAACTATAATGTTATGAATATAATTTGTGAAATAAAATAAATTAAATAGATAATTTAACTTTGATTCTATGGAATGATTTAAAGGTCTATGTAAATATGATTTTGGCTAAATTATCGTCGTATTTTTTCCATTTTTGAAATTTTTCTTACAAAATCATTTTATCGGCCGAAATATTAAATTGAGTATTTTTTTAATTTATTTTTTTATATAAGTCAGTTTTAACAGTAATTTATATATCATTTGTTTTTCTCAAAACTGGATGAAGATTATTTTTGCTTTTAAAATTTAAAAAATTTGTTTTTAAAAATTATTTAAAAATTCTAATTGGCAACTAATTACCGAATAACAACTGATATATATCGGGATTTATTTACGAATAAATAAAAATTTTTTCCATGTGTTGGTTTCAAAAATGATAACAGAAACAGAACTCTTCTTCATTCTTCACTAACTAAAAAAAGAACTATTTTTGCTTGCCATTCATTGTTTATTCATTCAACAATCTAATTCACACAAATTAAAATTAGGGTTTTTTTTAAAAAATCATTAGTCTAGTCCCCAGGGTTCATATAATAACACATATACTATATATACACTACATCATATATAATACTACTTACGGTATACTTGCATATGCCATAAAATAGAATAGCAATAGATAGTACAATACACATACACATGTGTTGTTATCCCAAACTAATTGGTGATCACTAATCTAATCTGCCAAATTACATTAAGACAACAATATATCACTGGAAGACGAAGGTAATTATACAATGCTGGCATTACTTTTACTACTACAATTACTACTTAAATACTATCTATCCTATCATAATAAAGAATGTTTATATTATAATTTTATTATGAATTATTTTATTATCAAGTATTAATTATTAATATTGTATTATTTATCTGTTCTATATATTTTTATTTTATCTTAATGTTAATTAATTATTAATTCATATATATATAATATAACATAATAATTTTCTAAGAGTCTGCTGAAACAATTTTCCAACAAATATGATTATTACTTCAAGTTTATTATTGCTTTTTAAAATAATATTAATTATATATATTTATATAAGTATATATATATATATCTGTGTGTGTTTGTGTGTGTGTTTGTGTGTGTCTGTGTGTGTTTTCACATTTGGAGCAATACTTGTAACTCATCAAACCAATTAATATTATTATGTAACTATGTATATATAATATATATCTATATTTGTATATATATATATATTATTTCTATATAATTATAAGTTTAATTATTTTTTAATTTGTAGACTGCAGTCATTAACAGAATATTTAAGTTATAAATAATTTATAAATTATTTACAAATAAGTTATATTTTTGTATTTATGATAATAGTTATATAAATATTATAACAAATATTTTATTAAATAAATAAATGGATAAATATCTATTATATAAGATAACTATATGATGGTAAATAAAATGATTATTTATATATAATTACAAATTTATGAGTTATATATATTATGAATGTTTTTTAAAGTTAATAATTATGAAAAAATTATGAATAAATTATGAGAATAATTACGAATTTATCGTTCAGACATTCTCAAATGAATGTTACCGAACAACACACGTTCAATTTTGACTCGGAGGAGAATGTTGCCAAATGGAAAAAGGTCTTCGTCGCAGCCCTCGGAAAGGTTTTCATAATTTATTATTTCTCAATTATTTATTTATAATTTATTATCCCTTAATTGTTCAATTATAATTTTGTATTTCTTAATTATTCAATTATATTTTGTTTGGATTTGTTTGAATTATTATGAAGAGTGATCTAAATTTAAACATTTAACATGTGTGCTATTTTATTGTTAAGCAAGCAACTTGAATGTGTGTGAAGAGTAAGGTTTCGGCCCTTTTGATGTTGTTGGTTGGTAGGATAGTGTAGTGGTAAGTTGTTTGGTCACTATGCCACTGTGGCTGGTTTCAAATGCAAGAGATCCCAGTCTGTTATATGCTCTTGTTATACAATGCATTGCTGTGTGGCCTGTATTCTTATGTTAAAATTCTAACCCTTTACAATTTTACATCCTTCGTTCACTCATTTGTTGCAATTATCGTTCATCTATTAATTCATTCATCCACTCTATCTTTCTCCCATCATTTATTCGGTCATTCATTCTTTCATTTATTCAGTCACTCATTCATGCTATCTATTTAGTGACTGGTAGGTATATTTTTTTGGGTGTTTTTCATTGTCAAATGATTCACTTTTGTGGATAATTAACTGATTAATTAATATTTTTGTTTATAATTAATAAAAATTATTATACTTATTATTATTATTATTATAGTTATTATTATTAGTATTACTATTGTTATTGTTAATCAGTAAGGCAACTGCTTGCACTTTTATTTATGATTGTGATTATTATTTGTTATAATTACATCAAGTTTTCCCAACAATAATTTCTTTCACACACGCACACACACACACATACACTCACACACACACACAAAAACACACGCACACACATACACACTAACAAACAGACAAACAAACACTTACACATACATTCTCACACATACATTCTTCACACAAACACTTACATATACACTCTTACCCATACAATACATTCACACACACATTCACTGACATATCAAGTACTGTTATTTCATAATAATCTATTTAATTAGATAAATTACAGTAGGATGATAACTCTTTTTGTATTGTACATAAACAAACACACACATACAAACACACATAAACACATACATACATACATACATACATACATACATACATACATACATACATACATACATACACACACATACATGCGTACAGTATAATACACATATACTCACATACAAATACAAATTTGTAAAAAAAACATAGCCAAACAAAGATACAAATATAGATACACATACATACAAACTCATACAATAGCATTATTATTCACATCATCATCTAAACCATCATCATCATTAACGACATCATCATTATTTTCATCATCATCATCAACAACTTTTTTTATCATCATCAGTATTTAAATGCCTCATTTAGCAACAAAAATTTCAACAATGTTATATCTTCATTTGCCCAGTGATAACTACATTAATACTGCTTCTATTTTCTCATTCATTCGTTCATTCTTTCATTCATTCATTCATTCATTCATACGTTTTTTAGACATATCATAAAAGCTTTACACTGTTATTATAGTTTGTAAAGAGTTACCATTATATAATTAATTACTGATTATTCGTTTTTACTGGGTTGTACTTGTTTATTCCTTTATCTATTCGTTCGTTCGCTTGTACGTTTGTTCGTGTGTTTGGTTTGTATGTTCGTTCATTTGATCGTTTACTCATTCATTCATTCATGCATTCATGCATTTATTCATTCATGTATTTTTTTAATAATTTTTTTTCTATTTTTAGTGACACCTTTAGCAAATTCACACACACACGCACACAAACAAACACACATACACACACACACACACACACACAAGTATCAAACATAGCGCTGGAGAATAGGACCCTGGATTTTAAAGCGCTCTAGCTCAGTGGTGTGTTGTTTATATTTATAAACATGCTTGTATGTATGTGTGTATGTACGTGTGTGTGTGTGTTTGTATGTGTATGTTTGTGTGTGTGTGTGGTCAAATTTATAGCACTATGTATATATATATATATATATATATATATATATATTTATAGAGCACTATGTATATATATATATAAACGTGTATATATATATTAGCTTGTAATTATTAGAAATATATATTGTACTATGTGGACCATTGCATGCTTTAATAATGTATATGTATTTGTATGTGTGTGTATGTGTGTGTCTGTGTGTGTGTATTTATTTGTCTGTGTTTGTTTGTGTATGTGTGTGCGTTCGTGTTTGTCTGCGTTATTGTCGTTGTCGTTTTGGTAGTGTAGTAGTAATATGTATGTGATTCCAGAAAAGGAAAAAACGCCTGGGATGGAAAACATAGAAACTCTCTCTAACTATCTCTAAGTTAGAGAGAGAGAGAGAGAGAGAGAGAGAGAGAGTAAGAGTGAGATGGGAAATATTTATTACTGCAAAAAGTTAATCAAACACTAACAAGCTTCTGCTCTCTTTCTTTTACTCACGCACACATACACACACACACACACACACACACAGAGCATACGACAAACACACACACATACACACACACTGCATACGACAAACACACGCACACACACTGCATGCGGTGCATAAGATAAATTTTTCCAGTAAATTATTAAAATATTCAAAATTCCATAACTTACTAACTGACTGACTTCTACATTGTTACTGCTTTACGTTCCATTTAACATACCAGATAGATATGTCTTCCGTGTTTAGATATAAGGCAAGACTGACTTGTTATTAGTTTCTTTGTTTTAGTTTTAAGATGTGTGGTGAATGTAGCTATGCAATTTTGATTGACATGTCTTTATAAAAGTGTGTGACTTAATTTATTCGTTTATTCATTCATTTGTTCGGTCTTTTGTTCGTTCACTCGCTCACTCATTCACTCTCTCACTCATTCACTCACTCACTCATTCGTTCATTCATCCAATCGTTTATTTAATTATCAATCTATTTATTCATTTGTTTTTGATTCGTGTGATCATTCATTCATTTGTTCATTCAATTATTAATTCAATTTATTGATTTGTTTGTTTGTATCTCTGGTTTGATACCAACAGATGCAAGGGCACATTATTATTTCTGATTGATGTTTTTATTAGTATTATGTGACATTCATATTTTTTATGTATGTATAATTATTATTATTATTATTATCAAAAAGGCCTGGGCAGAGCCCTTTGCCCCAACTAAAAACAATGACAAAATAAAAGAACGTTTTCAAAAATAAAGGATGTGAAACAATTAAAGTCGTATAAATTATTGTTCAATGTCTACACCAAACGACCAAACACGAAATTAAAATTTAAGCAATTATTTAATACTTAATCAAGCTGACACAAATTTTTTATCACCGTAAAAGTCATCTAGTTTAATTTTAAATGTCTTCATAGATGGAGCATCTACAACGTCAACGGGCAGTGCATTCCAAGGATTCACGACTCGATTAGAAAAAAAATATTTTCTGCAATCTTTCCTTGCAAGACGAGTCTGTAAACTGAGATGATGACCTCTGGTGCCATTGTCCGCACGACGATCTAACAATGGGGAAATTGAAGGATCCACATAATTATGGAGAATTTGATAAGTTAAAATTAAGTCGCCCCTGATTCGTCTATATTCCAAAGATGGCAGATCTAATTTTATCAATCTAGATTTATAATCTAAACCTTTACATGACTTTGGAATTCTGGTAGCTCTTCTTTGGACCTTTTCCAATTCACCAGATAAACCTTTTCTATATGGGCACCAGACTTGCACAGCATATTCCAAACGTGATCTGACCAAAGATTTATAGAGACAAACGAACGCATCATCCGACAGGTCCTTGAAATTTCTGAATAAAATTCCCAACATACGGTTTGATTTTTTTATCTGCGTCATAACATGCTCTTTAAAAGTAAGTTGACTATCTACGATCACGCCTAGATCATGCATACTCTTTACTCTTGGTAAGATATGAGCAACATCATTCGAATCAACAATTTCATAGTTCATTGGAAAACATTTACCAATTGACAACAAGCTACATTTACTAACGTTGACTTTAAGACTCCATTTCCGAAACCATACCATAATATTGTTTAAGGAACTTTGCAACACTGCACCATCAGGCAGTTCAGATAACGTACCATATATCTTTGCATCATCGGCATATAAAAAAATATCGCTATAAACTGAGTATATGTCGTTGATATAGATCACAAACAAAAGAGGACTGAGCACTCCTCCCTGAGGAACTCCACTTGTGATAGGTTTAGCACTAGACATATGACCATTTACACCAACACGGAGTGATCTTTCATTGAGGTAACCTTCAATCCATCTTACTAAGTTATCATGGACTTTATATTTCCGTAATTTAAACAATAATCTGGAATGAGAAATTGTGTCAAAGGCCTTCTCCAAATCAGTATATATGACATCTATGCTTTTACCAAGTTCCGCTGAAGCAGTTATCTCATCTATAAATTTCAAAAGCTGCAGTGTGATTGATCGAAATGGCAAAAACCCGTATTGTCGGCTTGTGAATAAATTATTCTTTATAAAATAATCTTTTAAATGGTCAGCAATAATTGACTCCATTAGCTTACAACAAATCGGAGTCAATGCAATAGGCCTGTAATTGGAAGGCAGACTTTTATTTCCTTTTTTGTGTATAGGTACCACAAAAGATGATCTCCAATCATTAGGAATAACACCATTCACCAAGGATAAATTATAAAGCACACTCAAGACTCCAGACAATTCAAACCTAGTTTCATACAAAATTCTAGGATGAACTCCATCCGGGCCAGATGATTTATTTCGGTTAATGTCCCCGAGTTTCTTAAGAACCGTTTTATTATCGATGATCAATTCCGACATACCATTATCTGAAATCCAAGGAATATTAAATTCAACATCATCTGTAAACGGCAAATCATCAACAAACACAGATGAAAAATACTCCGAAAAAATCTCAGCCCTATCCTTATCATCAGAAACATGTCTGCCATCATAGATTAAGGAACCAACTTTATCCTTAATATGACTAACACTGTTTACTCGTTTCCAGAATAATTTTGGATTTGTATTAAAATCTCTGGCAATCTCATCCAATCTTTGAATATGCAGCTGTTTAGATAACCTTCTCACTTTATCTCTTGTTGATCTGAACAAAACCAACGAATTTATACCATATTTGTAGGTTTGCTTCCAATAAACATGTTTCAATTTTATTAATCTAAGCAACTCTGGATTCATTTTAAATGTACGTCCCCTACCTGTTTTTCTCAAAGGAACATATTTTTTAGTTAGTTTCAAAAGCAGTTCTTTCAAAGCAATCCATAGCTGTTCCACAGAAGACTCTGAACAGGAATTTAACAGATCATGCACAGCATTGTCAAGATCATATCTCATTTTGGCATAATCACCAATATCATAACAGAATTTTTTATTAACTGTAATTGTCTTCCTGCCTTATATTAACAGTTCAATAGAGAGAGTGTTATGATCACTGCTACCCAGAGGAGCCATGTAAATAATATTCCTGACGATGTCAATATCAGAAACCACCAGATCTAGAATATGAGGCTGCTGCGAACTGCGAGCTCTTGTGGGTTCATTGACGTGTTGCATCAGATAATGATCATTAAGAAAATCCACAAACCTGTTATCAATCCTTGATGGGAGTCCACCTGAGCAAAAAATGTTCCAATCAATCTCTGGAAAATTCAAATCTCCAAGGAAGATATGTAAACCAGGAAGCTCCAAAAATTCATCCAGCAGCTGCATTAAAGAATCATTATTTAAGTCTGAACTTCCTGGACTACGATACAGAGATAGAAAATTGATATCTCTGTTATTAGATGACAGTTTAATACAGATAAACTCTTGAAAAGTTGAAGACAAATTTAATTCTATGATATGCAGATAATCTCTAAAATACACAAGCAAACCTCTGCAGCCAATTACACCAAAATCCTTTGATATCACTTGAAAACCATTTAGCTGATATTCAGATATACAGGGAGGAAATTTACCAAATTTTGGATTTACTTCATTTAAAAAAATCATTTCAGGAGGGTCATTGAATGTATCTAGCAGCATACCCAATTCACCAAATTTATTTGTTAAAGTGTCAACATTGGCATACAAAATTGTAAAAATGTTATTCATTGCTAACACAGACATACTTGACTTACTGCTATCTAAAAATTTCTCCTTCTGATGGCAACAGCATGGAAGTCCCCAGGTTGACCTTTAATTATAAAAACAAACTTATTAGTATCTTCAGTTGCAGCTAAACTTTTCTTTTTTTCTTCAATTAATTTTTTACATTCATTTCTATCTTCTTTGACCAGGTCGTTTGATAGTATTACTTTCTTGTATTCAACATTTCCTTTCAAATTAGAACAATTTTCTAAAACTAGATTTTTAACAGCAAAATCACAAAATTTTATCACAACAGGTCTGGGCCTTTGATTTATCTCAGGTTTCTTACCTAACCTGAACCAATCAGATATTTCCTTCGAAAAATCAAAATCAGGTAACAAAACTTTTAGCAACCCAAGCACTGCTTCTTTGTCCTTATTTCTGGAAAACTGGCTATCCTCAGTTATATTAAAAATAATGATATTGTTTTTCCTCAAATTTCTTTCGTTGTTGAGGTTAATTCTGCCGTCGGTTGCAGCAACAGAACAAACAACTGTCTTTAAATCACAAGCCATATTATCTACTTTATTAGAGAACAGGTCTGAGAATTTTCTGACTTTTTCCACTTCTGCAGAACCACTCAATGAGGACTGCTTCAAAAATTCAACGTCACTGCTCAATTTCTTCAAATCATCTAACTGTGTGTTAATTTGAAATTCCTTCTTTTGAATATCCTCGATTAAAAGTTTCAGCACATTAATATTATTATTAATTTCGGACAGTTCGTCTTTAAGCTTAGGTGTATCCTTCAGCCCTTCGACCAAGCCAGCTAAGACTGAACAGTTCTCAGCACGACATTTTTCACACAGTTTGAGGCCATAATCATCAGGTTCCATAACAGCTTTCTCAGACTTCTTTGCTGCTGCTCTTGTCGAGGTGGAGTGAGACATTTCTGATTACTCCAAGAGAGCAGTGAAAACGAATGAAACCAAATTGTCTTATTAAACTACCGAATTAATTGCGAAAAATGAAAACTAATTTATTTTTACGAAAATAAAACTTTATAAATTAATAAATTCCTTAGAAAACCGAAAAATTTAAGCAAAGCGAAATATTTTTAATTTTTTATAATTGTTTGTATGTTTGCTCGTTTGTGTGTTTGTATGTATGTTTGTGTGTATGTTTGTATGTATATATGTATGTGTGGTTTCCTTTATACGTGGTTTAGCTTAATTTATATATACTGTCGTAGTAGTTTCACTAGTTTTGGTATCAGCAGTAATAATAGTAGTAGTAGCAGTAGTAGTGCTGCAGCAGTAGTAGCAACAGTAGTAGTAGTAGTAGTAATAGTAGTAGTAGATGCCAGTGAGGATGATGTTTGCAAAGTAGGCCATTTGACACTACCACTGCTAATCATCATCCATCTCTGTGTGTGTGTGTGTGTGTGTGTGTGTGTGTGTGTGTGTGTGTGTGTGTGTCTGTGTGTGTAAATATGTGTTTGAACAGATATATGCATATCATATTTCTATATATTTGTATTAACATATTCACGGTTTTTTCTTCTGACAATCATCTTAGTGTCTGACATTTTATGATTAAATGTGGAAAAGACTAAAAATCAATGAGTAAAAGGATAGAAATGATACGAACACACACGTACACACACGTACGCGCACACACACAAACACAATACATTCGTTGTACTATTCCTCCCATCTTTGTACCTTTAATTTCTAGTCATTGCATCATGTCATATCATCATCGCGTTGGCTGCAATTTTTAATTTGTCTCTCATTGTAACAACAGTAAAAGTAACCGTAGGTTAGTAATAGTAGCGATGGTAGAGATTATTTATAACAATGAGAAGAAGAAGGATGGGTGAGGATTGTTATGGTGAATTTAAAAAAGTCCTTGGTTTAATTTTTATTCAAATAATTTCTTCCGAAATTCTTGTTTCGTTTTACACAATTTTTATTGGATTGAACACTTTTTGTTTGGAGCTATCGCTCGCTCACTCACTCACTCACTCACTCAATCACTCTCTTTCACTCAATTAACTAATCAATCAAACAAACAAACAACTTGTTAATTAATCAATCAATCAACCATTCAACCAACCAATCAACATGCAACCAACCAAACCATTCAACCAATCAGCCATCATCATCCAATCGTCCTCACCTTCCATTAAAAAAAAAAACAAACAGAAACTTCTGGAAGTCCACCCGAAGCTGACGATCACACCAGACGCTCTGGAGAAAATCGAGAAACTTCTAGTACGCATGCTGAAAACTCTCTGCACCCCCACCCCGTTTCTACCCCACCACACCGTGGCAGACGTCCTAAAAAGGGTCAACAAGAAGTTCCTGGAGCCAATAAAATCGTGGGCTATCGCCGATGCCAATGCTGCCATTGATAAGTTTCAGAAAACCAAAAAAGCAACTTGCGTTACGATGCCTGTCGATAAAATCCATCAACTTCTCGTCAAAGTTTGTTTGTTGGTTGGTTGGTTGGTTGGTTGGTTGGTTGGTTGGCTGGCTGGCTGGCTGGCTGACTGGCTGGCTGGTTGGTTGGTTGGTTTTTTATTCGTATTCTTCATTGACGTTTTACATTTAATTAACTAATTGCTTGACAAGTAAATTAATTAGTCAATTAATCACACTGCCAATTGTTCCATTTTCCAATCATTCAACCAACCAACCAACCAACCAGGAGATATTTAACTGCAAGATAGACTACCAGGTTTCACTGTTCATATCAGCCGTCCTTGAATATATAGCTGGTGATATGCTTAAAGTTAGGCAGCATTTTTATTCATTTATTCTATCGTTCTTTCATTCATTCATTCATTTATTTATTCTTTCATTCATTTATTCGTTCGTTCGTTCACACACACACACACACACACACACACACACACACACACACACACACACACACTCATGCAAAGAAGTAATTTATAAATACATAGATATATATTCAATGGAGGATAGGATGCATATACACGCACAATACACAGACATGTATAAACACACACACATACACACTAACAGACATACGCATACGCACGCACACACACACACACACACAAACTCCGGCGCGTCCTTGCTCTCACACCATAAATTAAGAGTTTCAGGCCGGTTTTTGGAGGTAATAAACCAAATTAAAATAAAAACAAACAAACAAAAAACAAAAACAAAATAAAAATGACATGAAATAAAAAAAATTTCTGCAAAAAAGCTGATCGGCAATTACGTTAAGAACATTAAACACTCTGAGATCACCCATGCTGATATTGATATAGCCATGTGTGCGGACAAGGTCTGTTTCTTTGTTTGTCTCCGCTGGTTGTTTTTTTTTTTGTATGTTTGTATGTTTGGTTTGTACGTACATAAAATTACACACACACACACACACACAATTACACACACACATAACACACATCATGCTTTTTTGTGGTAGGTACTGATGGCTATGTTGTTTGAGGATGATGAAGAAGAGGAGGAGCGAATGATCGACACAGAGAGGAATATAAATCAAGGGTATCATTATCACCATCACTATCGTCATCATCATCATTACTATCATCATCATTATCGTCATCATTATCGTCATCATTATCATAACTATCGTCTTCGTTATCGTAACTGTTACCGTCACCAGCAACATCATTATCGTCAGCATTATCATCGTCATCATCATCGTTGTCATCGTCATCATCATCGTCTTCATCATCATCATCATCATCATCGTCTTCATCATCATCGTCTTCATCATCGTCGTCTTCATCATCATCATCATCATCATCGTCTTCATCATCGTCGTCTTCATCATCATCATCATCGTCGTCGTCATCATCGTCTTCATCATCGTCGTCATCATCTTCTTCATCATCGTCATCATCATCAGATGTCTGACGTCACAGAGTTAC